CATCACTAATCAGGGGTATCCCAGTAATTTCTTGTACTTTGTACTTCACTTATATATAAATAAAGGCATGGTCGACTGCAAGTACAGTTCGACATTCCAGCATCTCTTCTTCTTCTCCTCTTTTCTGCTACTTCGAGTACAGTGGTTCAGCTTTCAGTAATTTACAATATGTTCACTCTATTTAAATAAGATGGTGTGGATGCTGCCACACACTTTTTGACTCTCCAAATCATTCTTCTCTTGTACTTTTCACTCTCATCTTTGACATAGAATAGAGGCAATCTCAGGATAAGCAACTTTTGGAATCCCATCCTGAAAAAGTTTTCTAAAAAGCTGGCTAATTGGAAGAAAGGGTACATCTCTTTGGGAGTAGGATGAATCTAATCAAATCAACCTTAGCAACTTGCCTATTTACTACTTATTAGTATTTAAAATTCCTGCTCTGGTTGAAAAAAAAACAAAGAAAGATCAGGAGGGATTTTTTTGTAGGAGTCAGGGGAGTCTAAGAAAGTACATTAAGTCTGGGAGGGAGGATTAGGTTTGTAAAGGCTAATGGATAGGAATTCTGCTTTGTTGGATGGAACTGGAACCAGTTCCTGAAACCAGAACTGACCCAATCGATTCGGGCCCATCAGGTTCAACCCGACCCATTGACAGCCCTAGTCAAAGATGCATGTGTTCATTTTACAATGCTATTATTGGTGTTACTACAAAGGGTCCATTGCTTAGTGCAATGGTAAAATCTCAAGCTGATAAGCATGACAATGCAGGTTCATGTCTGATGGCAGGGACAACATTCGGTAATGGTTATTATTATTAATTGTTACCATCTTTTGTTTTTTTTGTTGAATAATAAAGAGAATTTTCTTAGGCGAAACTATCAAAGGATACAAAACAGAACAGAAATTCCAAGAGGCATGAGCTGCAGCCTCAAAAACAAAACAATATTACAATTGAGCCCAAAATAAATTGTCCATAAGCACCCCTTGCTTAGATAGAGAATCTGTCAGCCCATTAGCTGATCTCCTCTCCCACTGAACTCTCACTGTTATGTTGGAAGTTAGCTACTTAAATCTTCTCATCCCCCCCCCTTCTAAAGGAAGCTACAGTCTCCGGCTCCTTCAGCCATCCAATTACCAGTTTAGAGTCACCTTCAATTAGCAAGTTCCCAAAGTACAGTTATCTAGGATGAACTTGATCACAATATGACAGTCTATGGAAGCAAAGGCTAGTTTGCTAATTTATCAAAATAAACTATGATGAGATTTTTGTTTTTTTTTGGTTCTAGCTGATATTTTTCCCTATGTTCATGCATGAGACATGTTGGTGTTCTTAAGATCTTACTGAAGTTCATGAAATATTTGTATCTGTGTTGGTGTGAAAATTTTAATAAGTTCTCATTCAACATAATTCACTCAATCAAGTGATTGAGTTTTTATTATTTTGGGTAAGGCCCATTCAGGGAATCATACGGATCGTTCCCCTTAATTACTTCTCCACAAGAAAGTAGAGAACACCTTTTGATTCTGACTTGGAGAAATGAACGAATAGAACAAAAGAAAAGAACAATTGGGTACTTAAAAATAACTTTTCATTTGCTTTTCTTTTACATCAAGTGTACAAGAATGAGAAGAAAGAAAAAGAAAATACAATTGAGAAACTATACAACAATACATTTTTCTTTTCTTTTTGATACAAAGAAAATTTCCTTCTCACTCCTTTCTTCACAATAAGCTGTAGTCAATCAGATGAAATTCTGATTGTAGACAGCCTTAATCCTTGGAATTTTGCATACAAAAAGGGAACTATAGTCAATCAAATTGAATATTTGATTGTAGACGATTTTCATCCCTCTGCTCTTCATTTTTCATTTGAAGGGAACCATAATCAGCCTTCGAGAATTAGACTGTAGATGGTTTAATCCCTAACTTTGTCTTGAAAGAGAAACCATAATCAACCAAGTAGAGGCACCTGGTTGTAGATGGTTTATTCTCCTCTATTTCCTTTCTCAAGACTAAAAACAAAAGAGAGAAAAATAAGGATACGTAGCAGAAGACATAAATAGGAAGTATTCACAGAGAGGACTTTCTTTTGTTCTACCTGTAATAGTGAGACTTTTCCTTCCTTGCCTTCCCTTGAGCACTTCTCTTTTCTTCTCTCCTTATCTTTGCTTTTCTTGAGAATCTCTTGTGAAAATTTTCTCCGAAGAGTCTCTATCTGTCTCTCTGTTTCTAGCTTCTCCTTAAGGAGCTTAAATAGGGAGTCGGGTAGTTATGTAACTACCTCCTCTTAGGTGAAGGACACCTGTCCCTCCCACTTAAAGAGAGGGAACTCCCATACAGGATACTTTTTTATAGTTTTAATGATTTGGCTAGCAGACTAGCCAACCCACTTATTTGAGTTCTAATCTATTTAAATATTATTTGGATTAAAAAAAATGCCTTCAACAATCTGGCTGTTGCCTGCATATGTGGTAATAACAAATTATTTATTGCTAACAATATTGGCTGCATATGTTATGCTTTTGCTTGATCTTCCTTTTCAATATCCATATTGTCATTGAAAATTATGCCTCGTCATTCACAGTTTTCACTAAAATGCTTGTCTATGTCTATTGCACACTAACAGTACTTGTAACTGCATACATGTTATTACTATTCTCTCTGACGTTAGTATTTATTAATTTATTATAAGCTCATCAGGTATTGAGGATATTGTTTGGTACAGGTTACCATAATGTTTGGGACTTTGGAGAAAATTGCACAAGCCGATCCAAAGTATGCTGACATTTTACTTTTAGAGAACTATGCAGCCTTCCAGAACAGGTATTCAAGAAAATGTAGCTCCTCATTAGATGAGTTTTTGAGTTTGACCTTCAAATTTATTAGAAGAGAATTGTCTAAATCAATACCATGTTAATTTTGTTAATTATAATCATTTGCATGCAGCCTCTATGACCTAGCTAATATTGTGCCCACACTTGCAAAGTTCTATCACCAGGCAAGTGAGTCTTATGAACAAGCTTGTACACGTCATATCAACATGATCATATACAATGTAAATAATTCCTCTCTTGTTTTTGCTTTATCTTTCCAATCACCTAGTCTTTTTCTTCTTTTCTTGGGATATTGTGAAACTTGGATAAGATGAAATGACAGCATGGATCTTCATTAATTTGTTCTTTGCAGCAATTTGAAAGACTCTTCCAATTTGCTCGAAGAATTGAAGATTTGATGTACACAATTACACCAGAGGAGGTTAGTGAATTTGTAACTATTTTTTTTTTGTTTAATGAATTTTATTTTACCAAAGAAAAAGAAGTTGTAGTGAATTAGCAGCTGATGTTTAAATATTGTCCAGAAATAAACTCAGCAAAGAGAAGACATTTCTAGATTCTCTAGCTGGTGATCGTTATCATCATCTAAGCCTTGTCCCAAGTCCCAACTATATGGGGTTGGCTACAAGAATCCTGTTTTGCCATTCCATTCTGTTCAGTGCCTAATCCATCATTAAATTATGGGTGCTTAAACCATCTCTTATTACTTCCACCCAAATCCTTGATATAAGAATAAATTTATATCAAGCTGCTATAAATTAATTAGTAATCTTGTCCATCAGTAAGACTATTGTTTACTAACTACATTTGAGAATTATTGAAAAAAGTACTCACTTTAGGTTCTATGGAATGGATCATGCTCTGGGTGCAGCAAAATGTGTAGCTAGCTTTCCTGAAAGAGTCAGTTGGCACATTATCAATAAGCAATTTTGATGAACCCATGGATTGACTGTATCATTGATATACATACTGAACCCTGTCATCTAACATGTTTATTGAAGTATTTCCTTGATATTTCCATCTTAGATTTCCACCTTTGAAAGTTCCCATTATTTCTTTTGCATATATTTAACAGTTTAATATGTTTTCAAGCTGCTAATGTTTTGGTGTGACTAATCTTTTCTTTATAAATCTTAGATCCCATTTCAGCTTGGACTTTCCAAAATGGAGCTTCGGAAAATGTTAAAATCCAGTTTGTCTGGGGTAAGATTAAATCTTCCCTACATTTTCCCTGTCCCTTGACCGTGACATCCTTTGGTTAAATTGTTACTGTTTTGCTGGTATAGGTTGACAAGTCCTTCAGTCAAATGTACAGAAGATTGCAAAAGAATTTAACTTCAGAGGAGTTGCTGCCATCCTTATGGGATAAATGCAAGGTTAGCACAGTTTACCTTGAAATAAAACGCCTTGAATATCCTTGTTTATATGGAAATGCTTTAATATGAATATCAGTTGTGAATCTCACCTGCAATAAATCTGAAATATAAAGGCCCCATTTGGCGCGTCTTTCCGCGCGGTCTGTCAGCTATTACAAGCCCAGAAGACCGCGATTTGATCTTTTCATGTTTGGTTTGCTGTAGATCTAGCCGCCAAAAGACGTGAGAAGCCCAAAACGGGTGATTTTCGGGAAGCTCCAAATGGAGCTTTTGCGTTTTTTCTATTCGTCTTCACGCAGAAAGACACGCCTTAACTAAACGGGATTCAGGCTGCTCAGATCTTAATGCAAAAACTCAATGTGTCTTTTGACTGTCAGAGCTGCCAGAAGATCTTCCCCAAAAAGACTTGCCAAATGTGCCCCCAAAGTAAAAGGAAGAAGAAGAAGACACAAGACATAATTAGTGCTAAAAATAAAAGAAAAGAACCATGGCCCATCTGGCCCAGTATCTCTACAATATCCATCCATAGAAATGACATGCTTGACATACACGTTTTTTCACTTCTCTTGGTTTAGGGGGCATGTCATAACATACATTCTCTGTCTATTTTATCATTGTATTCATGGATCAGCTATATAGGGCTGCAAAAAAGTTGGATGTCTGGTAGATTTACAAAATTGCAATCCATATTTAGAACCACTACGAGAATCAAAATATCCAATTTGATTATATCAAAATCATAAAAGATAAGATAATAATATCAAGAACAAAACACAAACTACAAATTCTCAGAAATGACACAGATCAAAACAAAACAATTAAACAAATCAAGCATTAATAATTGAAAGTGCAAAAAGTAGAAATACTTTCAATCCATATTTATACAAATACATGGTAGACAACATAGGTTACATATGATATGGAACTATTATGCAAGCAGTGTGGATTCTAGGAAAAAAGAAAGCAGAAGCTCAAAATAACAAAACCCACAATAGAAGCATGAGAACTGAGATGTTTGTGTGCCTTGCACTGAAGTCTTTTTCTTGTTCCAACTCATGGGCTTATGGTTAGAGCTTTCATCATGGACAAGGCTATGGTTTGAGATATTTGGACTGATCTGTGTTCTCAGTGCTGTTTAAAGCTCCTGAAACTTTTGAAATAATAATAAATCTCACATCTAAGATGCTACAATCCAAATCTTAAAACTCAACTCAACTAGGCCATGTCCCAACCATATGGGATAGGCTACATGAATGCTATCCAGCCATTGACTTTGTTCAGTGCCATATTCATTGTTAAATTATGGGCCCTCAAATCATTTCTCACTACTTCAGCCTTTGTCCTTTTTGGTCTGCCCCTCTTCTAAACCGTTCAACTTATAACATATAACTTCTCAATGATTCTGTAAACGGTCTTTGCATGTGACAAAACCATCTTAGTCTACTTTCCCTCAATTTATGACCTATTAGGGTTAAATCCCAAAATAGAAATAAAAGAAGAAAAAACCACCTTACTGTCACTCCTCTTTGTGAAATAACAATAGAAGTGCAGTGAATTCTGTTGCCTCAACCTCTCCCATGCAGTAGTCTCCTCCCCCTCCTCTCTCTCTCTCTCTCTGTATATATATATATATATATATATATATATAATGCATTCTCTGAGATATAGGATTGAAGCCAGTGGCAGCATTCTATGAGAGACACTAGCAGTGGTGCTACCCACTTGAAACATGGAGAGTTAAGTTTTAGGGTTCTGTTTTTGTCAAATGGAATAGAATGTAGTTAGGTTAGATCTTTAGAGTACTTTTACTAGTTAGGTTTCTAATTTAACCAAAATTTTTACCCTTTTAAACAATCAGATATTAATGGATCATATCATGGATTATCTGAATTTGATATGATTAACCATCAAATCATCTTTTAGGATTAAGTGGATCAGATTCAAATTAGAACCAGATCAAATCTGATCCATTTGCTGCACTGTCTACTATGGCTATACATGGTAGAGGTAAATGGTAATTTCAAGTTCAGTTTAATTGATATTGATCCTTTTCCATTGTTTTGTCACTGGAAAAAACTTGAGGTGCACTTTATAATTTAGTTAAATATTATGATAAGAAAAATCAAAATAGCCAACAAAAAGTATTTGTTCATATTGGATAGCCTTGTATTGGTCAGCTGTATCAAATAATGTCTATTATCTAGTATGTGCTTGAAATATGAGTAAGGGTTCTGTTTCTAAATAGACCTGGCAAAGGGAGTCATGCTGACTGACTACCTACCTGACAAAACCTCCTTGTCTTGGGATCATAGTGCAAGACAAATAGTCCACAGTGGAGTGGAGATACATATATTACTCAGCCCTGATTCTATTATGAATGCCATGTATTAGGTTTGCATTGTTGGGAATCTTTATTGAGTTGCCCGGTTTCTCCGAAACCACAAATGAGCTAGTGTTGATAATTTAATGAGGGTGTTCCATCTTTGGCAGAAGGAATTTCTGGACAAGTACGAAAGCTTTGTTCAACTGGTTGCCAAGATTTATCCCAATGAAACCGTTCCATCCGTAGCAGAAATGAAAGAGCTTCTTGCCTCCATGTAGAGGGAGTGATTTCTTTTTCAGATGTATAGAGGCTTCAATGATCCCTTGTGTGTGTATATGTGTAATCCGATTTTTTCTCTTGAAAGAGAGACATCTCAGTTGTCATTACTAGAATAGGTTGTACTATACATGTTTACATTGTTTCTTTTATTGGAAGTAAGAAAAATTGTCAATCCTTTCTTGGGCCAAGGTACTGTTTGAAGCATTCCAAGGTGTTGATCTATTATTTGGTTGTTTGCATCTCATTCCACTTTCAATGCTTTTTCTGTAGTCAATGCACGGCCCTACCATTCCTCTATGTATTCCTCGTAATACAGAGTACAGACTCATTGGTTATATTCAAGGCTTTCTATTGATTTGACTCGTTATTTCTGTTTGGCGTTGGTGGTTTACTCTTGAATTCTTGGCGAAGAATGATATTTTCATATGAGCCCGGAACATCGGTCAAATGACGTACGTAAGCGATGATTTATGTGACTACCCTTTGGATCTCCATTTGTGAAGTGAGTCTAAAACTGTATTACATGGAGTCATGGATATTCCAAATAGAGCTGGCAATCCTGATTCCAACCCACCCATACCCATCCATTCCAATGGATGGTTAATATGGGTCGAGTGACCCATTAGGGTCAGGGTGGGGTTGGGTCGAAGGTTACCCTGGGTCACTTTCTTAGGTTGAGGGGAAATTAGATAAAACAAAAATAAAAAAGATTCAGGGTTCGATTGGTCTCTCGTATCTCTTCCTCTCACTCTGCCGACCATGATTGCCTCTGCCAAGATTGCCGCTGGTAGAGAACACTAAGCTTTGTGCGCTCCAGTAACATCGACAGCTGAACAGGAGATCTCTCTCTCTCAATCCTAAAACAGGGGATCACCTCTTGCTCAATTCCAAAGAAATCCGAGGAATAAGCACCCCTTGTGCTCTTAAAATCCCTATTTTCTCCTTTTAGAGCGTGCTTCACACCAACCTCACAGCTCAGTCGTACATTGAGAGCATGGCTCCGGTGTGCTGTGAGGGAGACCAGATCTGCTCCTCACACAAAGTGCCTCATACACATTCTACCATGCATTGGGAATATTTCCCGTACTTATAAATTAATTATTCACGGGAGATGTTCTGTGGATGTGCCTGTGAGGCGCCCGTGTGAGGAGCAGATTCCATTCACAGCTAGGTGTGAGACTGTGAGGTGCGTTTTGTGTGGAGCCTTCCCGGATATTTTATTCGTTAGCCTATATCTGGGGTAATAATATATTTCTTTTGTATAGGTGTTTTGATATGATTTTGTAACGGGTGACCTGAAATAAGAAGCGACGAAACCCAGTGGAAAGGAATTCTTGAGACCTTTAGCTTGGGCTTGGCTTCGTCATAGAAACGTTTATAAGATGACCAACTGGAAAGGAATTCTTTGTTTAGCATAAAGACAAGAACTCTTTCTTTTTTTTTTTTCAACAAAATTGGGTCAATAATTTCACTAAACCTCAATTCAGGGAGTAGGTCAGTCACCAGTGACTTTGGAGCTTGAGCCTACCCCTTAACAATTTGAGCATCCAGGTAACGAGAAAGCCTTCTTTGCTATCATGAACTGATGAACTAGAGAGTTTCGCCAATATGACGCAATGACCTCTCCCTTGTTTTAAATTTGAACGCTTACACATGCGTATGCCGATATGCACATCCATATATATATATATATTTGGCCACTCGTCATGAAAGTATAATTTTACTGTGGGCCTCACAATGTAGGCGGTGGGAATTTGGGATGTGTGATTTGCTGCTATACACCTGGCCTGTGGTCGTGCTCCACTGCATCATTGAGTTGTGATCTCACAAGGTCAAACCACCCAACCACCCTAGCCGAGCTTATATTTATCTTCACATCCGCTGCAATAGAAATATATAGGGCTTCAACTGCAAAGGAATCGAATTTGAATTCAATTCATTTAAGTTGCATTCACATCTGGATAATCTCTTATACATAATCAGATCGAATTTGAATTCAGTTCATTTAAATACAACTCCCAACTGCCAAAGCCAAACCTAACCTCTCTCCTTTCTGATACTGATGTTGAGTTATCACACAAAACACCTATACTGATTAAAAAGAGGAGTGGGGGCAGGGCATACAAAACTGCAATTCAGAGCAGCCTAAGTAATCATGGAATCTTATTCATAGTAGTCTAATGTAAACATGGATATCAACAATAAAAATTGTGTTGAAACTAGAAAAGTTAAGTCGTCTTAATACTAAAATTGCTATATCTTTTTGAACTATGGTTTTCATCATGTGTCTTGTCCAACGCATCTGAAAACTAGAAATGTCAATTAACAGATATAAATTACAATTGAACATCAGTTACGGACATAAATTAGTTTGATTTGGTGCAGCATAGTTACCAGAACAAGGAAAAAAACCGTCTCTTTAACTCTATCTTTGATGTTGCATTATGGATTTAAGTGCTATTAATACAAACTTAAAATGCATTTCATTTTAAATCCAATTGCATTCAAACAAGCTGCTCAATCTTGCCAAGCATAGACCCTGCAAGACTTCTGGGTTCATACTTCATTTGACCCATTTCTTATTCAAGCCCCCTTTCAACTATTTAACATCTAAGCACTGATCTACGGGAGTGAAGGATCCATCTCTCATTAATATATTTGTTATCTTAACTAATTTAATTTTTATTTTTATGGAGTTTTTTTCTTAATTTACATCATAAAATTGTATTGTTAGTGCCTCCATATATATAAGAAAGAATTAACCATTAACCAGCTGGGTAGCAGTAGTAGTCAGCAGATCTCAACAACCTGAGTTAAAACAAGATCAAAGCATAATCAATCTGCCATTTTCATGAACACCAATAGAGAGGCTGTTTGTTCAATTAAGAATTTAAGATGCAATGAAAAGTCCCAAGGACCTTGTCCAGTTTCTTCCTGTTGCATGCACATGCACAGGAAATCAAACTCATGAAATCTTTTGGAAGAAATTGTAATTAGAGAGGAATCCAAAGGACATTAGCGTCATCTTCTATCCGACCATTTTTAATTGTGACTCCTCTCTTCTTGTTGTAATTCATAAACGCCGCTCTAAGATGGTTGGTAGCTCTCTATCCTTGGGTACCATTGACATTTACTGTACTGGCCCAACGTAACTAGCTAATTTGTTTCTCTCTGACCCCTGGATTAAATTCGTCACCAACTTCAGGTTCGAAGAAGCTCCCTATAGGAATTGTATAAACCTTTATTCACCATTTCTATCACATATATGTATCCATCACTCTAGTACTTGAGCTATATAATCCCAATAAGGATCTGAGCACTACTCACCATTCACCAACAACGTAAAGAAAATGTCGGTTTTCACAGTGAAAGTTGAAGAAGCAAGGCCGGCTCTCGGGGGAAAGCCTTCGGCGGGACCTGTGTATAGATGCATATACGCCAACGCCAAGGATGGTCTCATGGAGTTTCCAACTGGAATGGAATCTCCTTGGGAGTTTTTCAGGTACCCCAGAATACACCTTTACTTGTTTTTCTTGCTTTTTTCTTCTTTAACATTTTATTTTCATGGAATATTAATAAGTTGCACCAGAGCAAATCAGATTAATTTCCCTGGGTTCTGCATGTGAAACAACTTTTCACAATGGAGCAATCTGGGCTCTGACTCTGAAGTTGTTTTCAGACTACAAAGCATTACACACAAAGTGAAAGTAGAGTTCAATTCTTTCTTTCTGTAGATCAGGAAGTATACCATAGTCATTGTTTTCAGAGGTCTGATGTGCAATGCCAATGAGAGGGAAAAAGATAGTCATCTGAAGAAGAAGAAGAAGAAGAGGGGGGATGGGGGGTGGGGGGAAGGAAAAGAAAACAAGAATTTTCGCCTTGGGTTAATCCTCTGACTCTGAGGTAGCCAGCCATAAATGGATGTGAACCAACGGTTTTAGCCCGAGGATTCCAATTTTGATCACAGTAGTTCCTCGGCTCAGTTTATTAATTATTGGTGGGGGTTGGAGGGTGTAGACAGTGAATCTTAATTACATTTATTGACGAGTGAGGAAGTCGGTGGAGCATTTAATTTCAATGACGGGAAAATGAGATCACATTCACAAGAGATGGATTGAAGACAGGGTGACATACTACTAATCAACTGCCAGATGGCCAAACAGGATTGGATGCTGCTCGAGGATAGGCTCCCAACTCCGGAGTCAGTGGGTCACCCATGCCATCTTTAATTGATTGGTGGCTAACTGGCTATATATATATATGCATGATAAAAACTTATTCTTAGTAGTTAATGGCCCATGCAGGTCTCGAACCTGCGACCTTCGCGTTATTAGCACGACGCTCTAACCAACTGAGCTAATAGGCCAATTGCGATGGAAATTGGAGACGTTTCTATTACTAAAAGGGATCTTTTGCATGTTTATAATTGATCGAATTCCACCCGAAATCGCTAAGTACGAATTGGTTTATTTCAACTTGAAAACCTTCTGATCTATCATTATCAAGAAAAAACCTTGACAACCTTCTTGTGATCTTGAACTGAATTCCTGATGACTAGAATGAGGAAAAAGCATCAATGTTGCCTACTCATAGGAAAAAAACAGAAGTCGGTATGCTCTATGCTGCACTCCACTTGCTGGCAAATTCCTCCATTTTCATGACCTGACATGGGATTTCTTATTTTGGAAGTTTGCTTTTTTCTTTGCTTCACAGTCTCTCCGTCAAACGAAACCCGACGAACAAAATGCTGGGTCACCGGGAGATCGTCAATGGAAATGTATGAATTGGGTTCACTCCTCTCTCTCTCTCTCTCTGTGGTGTATGGGTGTGTGCACGTATGAATTGTGAATTCCCAATAACTGATGAAGATTAATAAATGCTATTGAATTCACAGGCGGGTCCCTATGTCTGGCGCACTTATCAGGAGGTATACGATGAAGCCATCCGAATTGGGTCTGCCATCAGAAGCCGCGGTGTTAACCCTGTAATTTCTCCACATTTTAATATGTTTTATCGGCGTTGTCCATTATTAAAAATAAACCTTCTGATAGGGAGAGTAATTTGCATTTGTACATGTTGGCACTTGGCAGAGAGGTCGTTGTGGCATATATGGAGTTAACTGCCCTCAATGGATAATAGCAATGAAGGTACACGAAAACTTCTTTAGAACAATTGCATGTCCTGTGGCTTCAGTTGCAGATGATATGTTTAAATGTTAATGTGCTGGCTCTGACCTTATAAACATCCTGCAATTTTTTTTCCTCCATATTTACTTAACATCTAGTATGGTTCTTCAACAGGCTTGTAACAGCCATGGGATATATTACGTACCTCTGTATGACACCCTCGGTAGGTGCCCTGTTCCTTTTTCTTCCTGTTTCTTATTTTTTTGTTTACATTAAATCCTATTATGCTGGCTTCATGGGGGATAGTAAGTGGTAGATGCTTGCCTGTCTTTCTGCCTACCCCCCGAGGAACTGCGCATGATTTCTATGCGAGGCGGTTGCCTATTTTATGGCATAGCAAGCCGACCACATTGTACATTTCCAAATCAACAAAGTTGTGAAATCTTGGGATGTAAGCAATATTTGACTCTAGTAATTAGAATTGAATTGAGTCAAACATCTGAGTACTTGCAATTTTTCTGGGATGTAAACAATATTTAGTAAATCCAGCTACAGCAATTCTTCTGTGGTTCTACCTATATTGCAGGTCCTAATGCTATGGAGTTTATCATCAACCATGCTGAAGTCTCAATAGCCTTTGTTCAAGAAAGCAAGATAGAAGCTGTATGCTGATTCTTATGCTATATTCAATTTCTAAGATTTGCATGAAATTTGGAAGAATTTTTTTGTTGGATAGGCATTTTACTTTGTTTTGGATGATTTTTCTTCTTTGAAACATCTAAGTCTAATTATCGGTACTTGTAATTCATGATTTAGGTATCAGTTTAAATAAAAAGGTTCTTAGTTCAGTTCCAGCCTTCCAGGATATGCCCTATACCAAATCTAGAGCATGAAAGTGAATGTCTTTTTTATTTCTCAATTTTCCACTTTTTACCTTTCCAAATATTAGAAAATTTCTGCACATTGTTCAAGATTACAATCACCCAGATGATTGTAATCCTTCACATTTTGGGCCTCTCATTTGTGAAATTAATCTTGGTACCATATACAAATTGCTGGTATAAGAGTATATATTGTTAAAAGGGGCCCCTCTTACGAGGGTTTGGCTCTGTAAATCCCATTGCCTCTAAATGAAAGGGCAGGCACATTGTAGCCATATGATTTTTTTCTTGTGTGTACCAGCTTTGGTTTATGGGAAGCCTTGGTCTGTATATATTTTAATTGCTATTTATCCTTTTTCTCTTTCTCTTTAGGACTTATTTCTCTTTTTTATAATCTGTTCCTCTATATAAATTCTATTAAGGAGCCTTAAATATTTGATGCATTAGAGATGAATCAACTTAACAAGTTTCTCTAAGTTGATAATTAAGTACTAACACTTTGTGCAGATGCTAACTTGCCTTCCAAGGTGTACTTCACATTTAAAAAGTATGTCAAAATGCAGCCCTGTTTCCAAATGATACAGTGATTTTTTTTCATCTTTTTCGAAACTAAATGTTCAATCCACTCTATCCAGCAATTGTTAGCTTTGGGAAGGTTACTGATGCTCAAAAGCAAGAAACTGAACAATTTGGCGTATCTTTCTTCTCTTGGGAAGAATTTGTTTTATTGGTAAGGTTACTATTTTTCTTTTATAGTTCAGGCATTGGGCCATTGCCTATCAGACCGATGCTGAAATTCTGTATCTCCTATTAAATGTACATATGACCCTCTCTTATTTCTTTCCAGGGAAGTATGGATTATAAACTTCCTCCAAAAGACAAGAATGACATCTGCACAATAATGTACACAAGTGGGACAACTGGAGAGCCAAAAGGTGTTATGTTGTCTAACAAGGCTATAATGGCAGAGGTCTTGTCTATGGATCAATTATTTCAAGAAACGGATAAAGTGGTAAATAGCCAATTATTGATCCTTATAATTTTTCCAAAGTTGCATGATACCCAGTTTCTTTTTGAAGTTGCTTTAACTCTCCATTGAATAGAAGCATTTGCTTTTTTTCTCTTTTTTTTTTCTTCTTTTCTTGTTGATTGGTAAATGAAGAACTTTATTAAGAACAAGAAAAGGAGAAATATAAATGAAGCAGCACGGCCAAACATCAGCTCATTAAGCCTCTAAAGAAACATCAAGACTATACAAGAGAAACAACCCAACTCCATGATGACCACCAGTCAACTCCAATAGACAAGATCTCCATACAGCTCAATCCTATCAACTCTAATCTTCACTAATAGATCTGTAAGGACACTGGTTGTTCTTCTGCTCTGGAGGAATGGCATGTTTTCATTAGCAGCCAAGGACCTACTTACCTGGTGTGATTAAACATCTAAGGGTCATTATTGTCCTCCTTTATACACTCTATTGTGACATCATGAATCCCCCTCCATCTCCACTTTTGAAAAACCCAAACAGTGCATTCATTTCAAGCTTTGAAAGATGAGGTCACGTGGCTTCAACCACCCACTGCATTATCCATAGTTAAACCTGAGAACTTTCTCTTGTTCAAACCCAATGCATCACTTCAACCATGACAGGATGTGCAATGAGCTCCTGCTTTTTCTCTTTACTCTCCTCTCTTTTCAAATAGACCATAAGAAACTTCTTACAAAATTTTCCACATGGCCCTCCCCCTTCTTAGTGAGTAGAATAATGGAGAGGAAATTCTTCTCCTTTTTCGAGTTTTCTGAACTAGCTTGCTGTGTACATAACAAAATGTTATAATGGATATATGTATGAGAACATATAAATCATCATCATTATCTTCACAGGTGCTCAAATTATCAACTTGATCCACTATATCTGGTGTCATCTCTTCTGTTGAAGGTATACATCATCAGATATTCAGATATTTATTGACTGTTCCAACTCACATCATTTTTTTTTCTTTTGGCTACACTTCCCATTGGAGAGCTTTCAACTTGCAGCAGATTGCTCCTTAACATTTAAGTCATTGATGGTTGTTCCTCATGACTGAATATAGTCTCTCTAAATGCTTTTAGCTTGAATTGAAACACATCATTTTTTGTTCATTAGAGGGCTGTGAGCAAGCTGATTTCCTGGGTGTCTGTAATCCCTGAATTCAAAGTTTCAAACACCTAAACTTGCTTCAACTGTTTAGAACTCAGTTCTTGTGGAGTCTGTAATCTGAGTTGTTCTGGGCCAACCTTCTGGTTAGGGTCTTGTTGTATCTTCTTTCCTTTTTTGAATAAAATTACATTAAAATAAATAAATCTTCCAGTCTGTAATTATTGTCGCCTCTTTTTTCTTTAAGAAGAAAATGCTATGGTTCGTTCTTGATATGTTTAGACATGTCTGTATTAGAATTATAGTAGTATAATAATTCTCAAATTCAACTAAGAGGTACTTGAGCTTTGTATTGATCCTAATTCTTTGAACAAAGATAAGAAATGAAATACAAATTTAAATATTGTAGCTTTATGTAGATTTTCTCATGGATCACTTGGTAGTGGTATTAATGGTGCCAGTGGTAGTGGTAGTAGGAGATGCTTAAGAAATTTCATTTAGTGAAATGGGAGTGGTGTGCAGGCCAAAGAAGATGCGGGATTGGATCTAAGGAGGATTAGAGTTGTAAACAGAGCTCTGTTAGGAAATGGTTAGGGAAAAGGGTGGTTGCATGTAAGTACAGGGTAACCTGGTTTGTTTGGGAGTCTAGGGAGTGTAAATAATGGTGTGAGGTTGGAAATTTTTGTGACCTTTACCCGAGATTGTATGGGTTGAGTGCTAGAAACATCATTGTTGGTCAGTGCTTTGAAGTAGGAGCAGTTGGTTTGGTGCCCTACTTTTAGAAGACCACTTTTGGATTGGGAGTTAGAAGAATTTGCTTTGCTATTTTAGAAGCTTGAAGAGCAACAGATATTTGAAGAAAAGAGGTTTTAGGTTGACAAGTCTTTGCTTCATGTGTAACAGCAATGAAGAAGATGAGACACCTCATCATTCCAAGCAACATGGCAGTTTTTATGGAGCTATTTCTCTTCTTATCCAACGTTCAAATTTCTTGACCCCATAATCCAGATGAAATCTTTTCTAAGTAGCCAAGGATTCAAGGAAGCAGAAAGGTCAAGTTCTTCTGGTGCTGTATCCCATTTGCAGTTTGTTGGAGGAATCTGGAAAGAAAGTAATAGGAGCGAAGAATTTTTTGAAGACAAGATAAGGAATAAGGGCCGAATATGTGCTGGTGTACGAAACCTAGTTGTCGACTGGATTTTGGCATTACCTGAATTTTCAGGGATTGATAAAAATGATTTTGGGATGGATTTTTGGGATACTCTTGAATTACAAGGGAATTAAGGCAGCATAAGTTATCCTTTTTTTCTGAGTTTCTGTTGTAACTTCTATCATAATTTGGGTGCCAGCTAATCATCGTACTCTTTATTGTAATGTTTTTGCTTATTTAATGAAACTCTCTTTTATTTACTGTCAAAAGAAGTTAAAGTGGTAATGGTAAACATAAAATGAACAGATTTAGAATTTCTTCCCATACAGGTGACACAAGAAGATGCATACTTTTCATTCCTTCCATTGGCTCATGTATTTGACCAGATTATGGAGACCTATTGTATCTACAGCGGTGCATCCATAGGATTTTGGCGAGGGGTATGGTTTGGACCCTGTTTTCTATGATGTCCTTCTCCAATGTTTTGAAAACCAAACTGACAGTTGAAGTGGTAAAACAGAAAACTATTTCAGTGTTCTGGGCTGTCAGCTATGATACACGGATACCTGTACAAGGGTGCCGTATTTTGTTGGATACTTTAACCTTTCGTGCAAACTTTGTATCCTATACTGTATCCAGCCATCTCCTTGCTGTATCTGGGTAACATAGGTTGTCAGCTTTTAGCTGGTTCCAAGGTTTACTGGCTACACTAAAAGCTGCTAAGACATCTGGTTCAACTCCATTTTGGTTTTAAAACATTGGTTGGATGATGCATCCATTTTGCCACTTAGAACTTGTAGTTTGTCTTCTCATTGTTTACAGGATGTAATGCATCTTCTTGAAGATGTGCACGAACTGAAGCCAACAATATTTTGTGGGGTTCCTCGAGTTTTTGACCGTATATACACAGGTAAGTTCATTTTATTTGTTAGTGTTTTTGCTTTTGTGTTAGGTTTTTTATGCTATGATTTAAGCATTACATATGCCCATGTGTGAAGGTATGATGGATAAAATTTCCTCGGGAGGAGTACTGAAGAAAACTCTATTTCAACTTGCTTACAACTAGTATGTTGTACAGTAATTCCCCATATTAGATTTGGATTTACAACTTATTTTACTTTTCTCGCTTTCGGTAGAAATTTCTAACAAGTTGGTAACAGCAAGTTGAAGAATTTGAAGAGTGGACTGAAGCAAGACAGTGCGGCCCCTCTTTTTGACACACTAATATTTGACAAAGTATCTTTCTTCTTTCTTTTTGTTTCTCTGCTGATACATCTGAATAATGTTATGTTGATTCCCATGTGAATTGTTTGTGTAGTCCAAACAAGCACTAGGGGGGCGAGTTCGTATTATAATATCTGGTGCTGCACCACTGCCCAGCCATGTGGAGGAATTTCTGAGAGTTACAAGCTGCAGTGTTTTAGTACAAGGATATGGTATGACAAATAAGTTCTGCCTGATGCATCTAAATTACTACATTATCAGTGCCCCTTTTACCTGCATATGTTGGATATTAGTCATTAACTAATTTCCCTCAAATTTATTCATTACTCCAGGCCTTACAGAAAGTTGTGCAGGATGTTTTACATCCATAGCCAACGAGTTCTCTATGATGGGAACTGTGGGTGTCCCTCTTACAACCATTGAGGCAAGACTTGAGTCAGTTCCTGAAATGGGATATGATGCACTTTCCTCTGTGCCACGTGGAGAAATTTGCTTGAGGGGTATAACCCTGTTTTCTGGTTACCATAAGCGACAGGACCTTACAGATGATGTCATTGTGGATGGATGGTTTCATACAGGTAAAAGTTCCTAAGGATAACTGATTTGCAAAAGGATTATTAATCTCATAAGAAAATCCTGGAATAAATGGTCTGCATGATCAATGTTGCAAGTTGCAACATTGTTACTGGAAAATGTGTTGCAGGATACATTTGTGTTTTGTACATATTTTTAGGCAATAAAGACAATCTTAATCCCATAAAATAAGAAACTTGTCATTAAAGAATGACAACTGATTTAGGATAGGGTAGAGGGTCCTACAAATTTCAAATATGGCTATGGGTTTTGTGGGGTGAAGGGCTTTGGGTGATTAATGATGAAGAATAGGCAATAAGGATGGAAAATCGAGTAGATGACTTTCCATCCACTAAACAATGACTAGAAAATTAGAAAGAAAAAGAAAAACCATTGTTTTTATGGTAAATGGCAATGAGACAGGCCACTTAGCTGAAGAAATAGGGGAGAGAGAGAGAGTTCTAAAACTAGGACAAATCTATAGGAGTATAGGTAACCCATAAAGATACTTCAACGCCTAAACAACTCTATTAGCACTTTGTAGTCCTACTGAAGCTTAAAGTAAAGGCACCAGAAATTACTGAAAATAGTAAATTGTGATTTTACTAAAAATAACAATTGTGAGAATTACTTAGTAAGTCCGAAAATTATCATAAATGGTAATTTTGAAGTAACAGTAAATTTTTAGAAGACTCGAGACCCTTTTCTTAAGACACCTACAACTAGAAAATAAATTATTAAAAACTCAAAACTATCAATATCCCTCACCAAAAGATTCTTAAATTGCTGTAATATTTGGAAATTTGATTTATTCCTCCATGTATTCTTTCCTTTACACATTTTCCATTTAAATTAGCATTATGTTGCATTTTATTTCCACTTTCTCCCTTTCATTTTCTGCCCTTGGAGCTTCTTATACATTTCTTGCTTTAACAATTTGTGAAATTTGAAGATGCTATTTCCTTGTATCTATTTTCTACCTTCTTGAATATATTTCCCTGTCAATGATTGCAACTGGCTGACAAGCATAACAACTTACTGATTAAATAATTTAGACATCAATATTGAATCTTAACAACAGTTCCTTTATCTTTCTTTAAAATTTGGACTGTTTCCATGAATGTCAATATGGAGAGTAACTTCAAAATATTGCAGGTGATATTGGAGAATGGCAACCAAATGGGACAATGAAAATCATCGATAGGAAGAAGAATATTTTTAAGTTGTCTCAAGGGGAATATATTTCTGCAGAAAACATAGAAAGCATATATGGAAGATGCCCTCTCATCACATCGGTACAAATTGGACATGCAATATTGTATATTACACTATTAGAATCCAAACCAATACTAATCAAACTATGCACATTTACATGGCATGAGTTCTTATTGCATCAAGTGGATTTACACGGCATGTTCCATGCACGAGATATTGCCGTAGTATCCACAGAAACTATACTAATTATTCTCTTAATATCTTTCTATATTTGGGGCTGGGGGTTGGTGAGGAACTTAAAATCCTTCCAACAAGTTTGCAGATAGATACCAAAGAGCAATTTAATCCAAGAATGTCACATACAAGCAAACATTGGTTGTTTGGAAGTCTGAGGTAAATAAATTATTGTCAAATCTTCTGGAAACTTGACTTTCATCCAGTTCACAATCCCCAACAAATAAATGGTCAGATACCCTTAGGCATTCCTAAAATGCATGAGCAACCAGGGACAGATCCAGGGATGGTAGGTGGGGACCATGTCTCCCCAAAGTTCTGAGAAAAAACCCCCTATATATGTGGTGAATGATCAGATGTGACCCTTATATTAGTAGTGTGCTTCCTCCAGCAAGTTGATAGATCCTGGATCTGTCTCTAATAGCCATTATCCAATGATGATCCCAGCTATCCATGGTCTTGGGAGGGGTAAGCTGTATACAGACCTAACCTTTGTCATCTTTTGGCACAAAGTGGCTTCTCTCAGACTTGAATCTACATTGTCACACCAGTAAGTTGTCAGCCTGAGACTTTACCATTGCACCAAGCAATGGCCCCTGCATATCTGCTAACAACATACGCTAAAACGTGTTTGTCATTTGGTAGTGAATAATCATTTTCCCTCTATCTTGGACCATTTTTCAGACCGTCTTTGGATGACTTGCAGATCTGGGTTTACGGGAACAGTTTTGAGTCCTTTCTTGTGGCTGTGGCAGTTCCTAACAGGAAGGCACTTGAGGATTGGGCAACCCTCCATCAACAGACTGGAGATTTCAAAGCATTGTGCAAAAGCCCAATGGCAAGGAAGTATATTCTAGATGAACTCAACAGTACTGGACAGAAATACCAAGTATGACAAGTTTCCTACAATATGCAAAACAATAATAAAAGCTTGGCATGCTTCATGATCTGACATGAAATGCTTTTGCACAGCTTAGAGGTTTTGAGATGCTAAAAGCAATTCACTTGGATCCAAATCCTTTCAATATTGAGAGGGATTTGATAACACCAACGTTCAAGCTGAAGAGGCCACAGTTACTCAAGTACTACAAGGTACATATTATCTTATTCTTCAAGTGTTTGCCTCCTCCCTTACCTCAAATATATATATATATATATATATATATTGTCAAATGAAGTAAATACATAGTTTAACATGCAATGAATCTCTTAGGTATTGGCAAAATTACTTTCCTCCAGTACTTTGTCCTTCACCTCATGAATGTGTAGAATGAATGAAAGATGGTGATATTACCCTTCGTAATTAGAAACATGCATATGGGATGACATTCTCACTCTAAACTGACATAGCAAAATTGTGCCAATGTAGAAGAGAATTGTATCTCATTAGGTGTTCCGTGCTTTTATATTTGTACAAAGTAAACTGTGCGTCTTAGTTTATTTTCTTATTATTTTTGTATTTATTCTTCACTTATCTATTTCAATGTAGAACAACATATGATTCTCTAAAGCTAATTTCAATCTCAAAACAGCAGAGAAATTAACTGCTAGATTATGGAAGAAACACTAATGGAGTTTATGTTTAAGATTTGGGGGCAGTTCTGGATATGTCCTCTCTTGGTCTGGGTGGATGTAGATTTGCTGTTCTAGCTCTTCTCTATGAACTCTGAGATTCTTCTTTATCAATGTTGACATGATTTGCAGGAATACATTGGCCAATTGTATAATGAAGCAAAGGGAACGAAAGTGTAAGAGCAGTATTTGCGGCCTATAGATGGGCTCATGGGCATATATAGAGGGCGCTTTTGAAGCATCCATTGAAAAAAAAAAAAAAATCTTCTATTTAAAGCCTTTGTCCTGGTGTCTGATAAATGCATGACAGTTTGGAGTGAATATGTATTATCCAGAGGAGCCCAGTACACTTGGCCCTGTTTATAGTGATGCAGAAATAAAATTATTCTCTTATTTTTATTCCTGAATAGTATCTCTTCTTGGAGTGGGAATAATGCCAAAAGTCTATACATTGGACATTTGTCTCACATTTCTTGGTAAATGGTTGCAAGTCATTAGTGAGGTATAACATTATAAGAAACTAAAAGGGAAGCACTTGTTGGTCATACTGAGCAATTCTGATAATTCTCTTACCTTAATGTTTAATAAAGGAGAATAATAACTACAATTGAGAAAAACTAGACAATCTGAAAAAGTGTTCATCTTTTATTTATTGTTCTTTTTCTCCTCAAACTAAGAGGAAACATTACATAAAGCACTTGTTGATTGTTCTGAAAAGTATGCCAACATATACAATATATGCTACAAAGAACCTTTAATCTGTATGATTGGGCTAGAGTTGTTTCCCTCAAAAATAAATAAATAAATAAATAAAATTGAAAATGGAATGGCTGATATTATGGTCTATAATAATCTATATAAACCATGTACATGGTTTGCTATCTTCCATCTGTTCCACCCATGGAAAGTCTTGAGAGAACAAAAATGCAAGCCGAAGAAACTAGTACAGCTCCTGCAAAACAAGCCAGGTCTACTGGAGTAACCAAAGGTACACTCTTGAACTTCTCCAACACCCCCACTTGAAGCATCATTAGCACTGCATGCCCAATTCTGGATTTTGCCTGTGATATACAATGTATCTCCATCCATGCTGGAAGCATCTGAAAAATACATAAATGATCAAGTCACAGTAGTTAGCTCTGACTTCATATTATCATGTAGTAAATTGAACCATAAATTGTACATGCTTTACAGATATGCATCTATTATGTAAATACTAATCTTCTAATCTTTTATAGTACACTATGAAGTGCACGAAACATGCATTACTTGCATTTCATACTTTTACATATGCAGATCTGACTAATAACCAGATATGGATATGAAATATGCATGTATTCAGTATAGATCTCCAAGGAAACAAGCTGACCTTGAGGCGGAAAAGCCCAAACAAGTTGGACCCGGAAAGTAAAGCCCCATTTCCTTTCTTCATGTTGTTGGTGCCCACAAACAAAGCATATAACCCAACACCCAAAGTAAGCATGGCTGTTCCTACAATAAACATATCTGTTAAGAAAAACCATTTGTCAGCAGTCAGGAAACTAACCCAAGTATAGTAATAATAAACAATAATAGAAGTGGTAGTAATACCTATGGCTTCAATTAGCAGGTTTATCACATGTCCTTCATCTGCTTTTTTGGACATATTGTAAAAATACTGGAAATATGATTCCAGAACAAGGAAGCAGCCCTGCAATTGAAACATCGGAATAAAAATCTTTATCATAATAAGAAGGGTTGACATTCTCGAATGGTTTGGGAAAGTCAATCAATTTCTTCTGTAGGGGAAAATATTTTACCTCAACAAAGCACAATATTGAACCAACCAAGGATCCCATGACCGCCAGCAAGGAGAAAAATCTACAGTCAAGGATTACCTGCATGGAGTATTGATGAACAAATGAGGAAAGTCCTTGCTTCATTTAGAATTCTTTTTTTTTTCTTTTTTAGTATCATTTTCTTTTTGGAAATTCAAAGCCGAAAAAGAAAAATGACTCCTCAGGAGCATATCATAGCAGGAATCCTCTGGATGAGAACTAGGAGAATTGTGGGGGGGGGAAGATTAGATTGTACCTTCTCTATGAGCATCTCGGCCTGAAGTTTCCACGATTTCCTCTTCACCTTCACAGCGGGTTCTAAGATCCTGAAAAGTACGAGCTTGACATCTGCCACCATGGAAGAGAGATGGGCTCCACTGCTGGTCTGTGGTTGTGAAGATACAACGCTCTCCGAGGCCGTGGATGCTTTTGTTGCAACCTTGGACTTCCTCTCACCATTATTGGAAATTCCTTTGTGTCCATTAGCCCCCGCCTTACTTAAACACCATAACGACGTGGGTGGGTGACTGTTTAAATTAAGAGAAGAAGGAAGAATGAATCGGCGAGGGTTGGAAGAGCGAAGCAAACTACTGGGTACCGCCATTTTTAGCGCTGTGGTGTGGTGTCTCCTCTCCTCTCCTCTCCTCGGGTCTGAACTGAACTCTGTAAGTTGTTTGCACAATGTCTATTTATATCCTCCGACCTCTGCCACGGGAGGGGTAGACTGGGAAAGAGCGAAGAGTAAACGATGAGAAGATTCGCGGCATATTAGCTGGGGAGTGTCGCGACATGGCTGCTTTTTCTTTTCTTGGAGAGTTTGGTTTGAAGTTTGAACCAGAGAAGGGCCAATGAAATGATACACGTGACGCTTTTGTAATTTCGTGATTCGTCAGCGTGTGGGGCCGCGATCGTTTTGAGCCAAACACGACTGGGCCTTTATTTGGTCATCATTGTCGCTCATGAATCACCTGATTTGATTCTGTTTCGAAAAGTCGGAGCACGTGTTCACTTGTTCCCCGTTCCCTCTCCCAACTACGAAGTCTACAACAAACAAACAATGTGATTAATATGGGCTTAAGAGCTACAACCAAACATCGCCCTAGCATTCACCATATCTTTCTGTTCTGACTTCCTCCCACTTGTGTAATTCGCAGGTTCATGTTGCAAAGTCCAAATGCCGGAAGGTGTTGGCTAATATGACTTACGCCCAAAAGAAGCAGCTTCGTTTCTGCAAACTGCATAGTCGTATGTCAACAAAATTGGGCGCTACTGGTCGAATTGCATATACCTAGATCCGAATTTGATTCTTTAAGCTATGTTTGGTTTGATAGAAAAATGAGAGAGAATTAGAAATTTGAGCAGAAAGTTCTAAACAACTTTGACAAATTTCCTTATGAACTTTTTCTCAATTGTTTGTTTTTCTTATTTTTCTATCAAGCCAAATGCAGCCTTAATGTTTGGTTCAATTTAGGTCAGACCCAAATCAGAATTGAATATTTGAATATTTTTAATAAATTGAATATGAATATTATTAATATAATCGATAAAACAATCCTAAATGGTTTGATATTTCTATATCATAAATAAAATGATTTGGAAATAACTTCATGGAAACTAATTATCAAAAAAAAAAAAAAAACTTCATGGAGAGTTTTATTGTCTTTTCTTTTGAAGCCGACCACTTGAAGAATTAAAATAACTCTTTGGTAGGCATTCATGCTAACTTACACTTACTAGCGTAGAGCACATTCTATGCATGTGAGTGCATAAACCATATATGATAATATTTGGAATTAACTTTTATAACCTACATAAAATTCAAGACAAATATCCACTTTATAGTATAAATTTATACCAGTGTGTATGATTAAATATTAGTGGTTTTTTTGTGAAACCAATTAAATATTAGTGGATTGGAATAATAGATAAAGGTGAATCCATAATCTGTTCAAATTATCCAATTATGAACATATCAAATTTAAATAATCTCAATGGGATAATACTAGAGTTCAGAGAAATGGATATGCTATTTGCACCCTTAAAAGAAACTCAGTTACAGTGCACAAGGCCAACCCTCCTAAATCCTAATAGATAGCAGGTTGGGATCTCTTAATGCCAATCCAAACCCATTTTCAATTCAGTTTAACTCAACCCTATTTTCTTACATTGTATTTGACAAGTGGCATCACCATTAAAATGCCAATATGGACTATTTTGGGGAATAATTGATGATTAATAATAGGACGACGATTGGATAAACCAAGGCTTTCAAGGCTTTTTTTATTTGGATCTGGGTTTTACCCCAAATCCGGAATTTGTGCCACTGCTGACTGGTCAAATCACATTAGACCCGGATAGTGAATTATTAACCCACGTTTTTGCCATAAGCACCTTGACCCGCGTTATTTTTGTCCAAGAAAATTGCATTTGGTGACCATAAACGCATGTCCCAGAAAAATGGCTCAATCTCCCCATATTTTTAAGGCAACTTTCATACAAATAATTGATAACAGTGCCAAGCGAAAAAGCCCGTAGACAAATTCTTAGAAAGAACAAAATATACAAAATTAGTGAATAAAAGAGAAAAAAGGAATTTCTGCAAATGACAAATGGTGAGTTAAGAATCACCAACAGAATAAACAGCAATCTAATGCCAGCTCCATCCACCAAATAAGAGTGAAAAAGGCAGGAGGAACGCTTAAAGAAAAGGGTGAAGTGTCAGGGATAGCACGACCGGAGAAAGCCGCAAAAAACGGCAAAGCCCCAAATAACTGCATCCGTTACCATGGAACTTGTTGGTGAACTGCAACTTCCACCAAATCAGTCACCAGGAATCTACAACTGCAACTGCCACCAAGAAACTGCAACCGCCACCAAAAACTGCAACCAGCAGCGAAATTACCCCTTGTACCAATACAGCAATGAATTTGGGATTCGGGAAACAGCCATGGATGGCAATCAAAGCAGCGATCGTGGCCACCGCCCAACAAGAAAAGACTGAAGAGCTCACCACCTGAACCAAGTCCCCTGCACAGCAGAAGCAAAGAAAAGAACAAAAAGAACAAAGTAACAAAAAAGAACTGAAACAAAGGAATGGAAAAATCAGAAGGGCGAGAGGAGTTATAAAAGGGGAGAAGGGGAGAAGAAAAATAAGAGGACTAGAGAGAACAAGGAGGAGGAAAAGAAGAGGGAGATGGGGGGCTCCCCAAGGGGAACCACCCCAGTGGAGCGAAGGTGGAAGAGAAAACCTCTGTACAAAGAAGAAAACCTCGAGAAAGGTTAGGGTGGGCGTTTTAAGAAACAGCGTTTAAAGGCACTTGCCAATTCAGCAAAGATAAATGCTTTATGAACTTTTGCTGTTTGGAAGGGCATTTCAAGAAATGGGCATCTAGGTGATCCAGTGTGGCACTTTTCCTTGATATTTGGGTGCCATCGAATCGATCCAATGGTCGAAATACAGTTAACTTGCATATTTTGAGATCCAACAGTTGATTTTGGATGAAAATCACATTCAACAGTCAAAACGACAGCAGTGGATGTATGGGTGCCATTGAAATGTTTCAATGGTCCAAACTACCCTCAATGGTTGTTTTTCTCCTTTGTGACTTACAATTTCAATGAGGCTGATAAAAGAGTCTAATGTCCAATAATAGGCAAATTAATTCCTCTCTCATTTTCCCTTTAATTTTTGTTTGTTTATTTACTCTCTTCTAATAAATAAAGGAAGTGCTTGCATTAGATGGGCGTGGAGCACTGAAATTTGGATAATCTAGGGTTGATTCCACATCACATTCCAACACTTTTTTTTTTTTTGCCATTTTTTACTTCCAGGGAGCTATAAACCCTTGGCCTCCACTTTCTTTGCAACCTCATTGCTGGACCCAATTTTTTCAGCGTCAAATTCACGCCATAGCTCTGCCTCTGACTCTGAATTATACAAGCTGATGGTTCTAACCTAAGCTTCTCCCCTGGGAAGATTCAACTGGTTCCCCAAATAGTGTGGCATATGGAACTTATCCTGTTGGACCCAATCACTAATGTTTTTTGATGTTGCAGAAGAAACAATTGAGGAGTATTGTATAATAGTTAGTTACATTTGTTCAACAAATTTTTATCAGCTAAGAATTTCCTCAATGACTTTGTGGCGTTCAATGTAAGATAGCATCCAAAATTCTAGCACTGAGGGCTGTCGATGGCAGGAAGAATCGCCCATAAGGTCGGTGCACGAGAGAGACTTGCGTCAAGGTATAGATCTGCAAAAATATGAAGAAAATGTGGGTAATGACGACAATGGAAATAATACAAGGTTTAAGCCTTTCAGGTTGACGATGGCTCTTACAGGCGACAAACGATGGCAGCAGTTCTCTACAGACAAAAAAAATGGATTCTCTTTGCATTAGGGTGAAAAGCATTTATTCTTCGTGGCCCATGATGCATGGGATCATCTTACTCGAACCACCACATCGGCACTACATCCTCAAGAGGTTTCAAGAAATGTCATGCTCTTGGGGAAAGCAAGAACTTATCGCTACCCCCAAGTCCCTAACATCTCCGGGCATACAGTTTTTTATGTTTTTTTAATAAACGGCTGAACTAAACAGTGTTTCTATCAAGTGGATGTATCGGGGTCTGACCGGTTCAGGGGATGAAAGGGTCCTAAACCAACTCTTCTGAACCAGTTTTAAAAAACAAAATATAAAAAATTTACAAAAATTTTATGATATATACATATATATATATATATATATATACTCATTTGAATGATAAATTTACAAAAATGTCCACTCTCTACCGATTTATTAAAGATGAATACAACACATTTGGTAAAAATAAACAAACAAAAAGACAATTTAAGAGTCAAAAACAACTCTAAGGCTGCATATGGAGATAATGTAAATCAAAATTGATATAAATATTTACATTGGACTAGTTTTATTGGCATTTGGAAAGAGTGTGTAAATCAAGATCATTTATAGGGTTCAATGCAAAACAGCATCAATGTACTTTTACACTGACGACATTTTACATCCATCCCAAACACATCCTAAAATTTATTAATCTGCAGTGGGAGTATAGTTCTATCATTCACTTGTGCTCTGTGCGGATTTCAAATCAACCCCCCCACAAGACTGCAGTGATGTGTATCTAACAGCCAAAAGCCAAAACACCAAAAACACACAAAAAACTCATTTTGAGTTGATTTCAAAAGCTCAAAATGAAGCTTTTGGCATCTTAAGTGTTTTATTGCCACACAGAAAAACAGAAAAAGACATGTATCTACCAAAATAACTTGGGGCTACTCAGATCTTTCATGTAAAAACTTGATCGTCTTTTAACTGTCAAAGGTACCAAATTAACTTCTCAAAAAGACTTGCCAAACGGGCCTGTGAATTCCAGGTACATATCTTTACCTTCATAAAGCTATGAAAGTAACGCAATAGTGCCAAGAACAATGTAAAATAATTACTGATTTAGGCTAGAATGTAACAGATCTTTGAAGATAAGCAAAGTTTTCACAAGATAAGCCAAGCATTGCTTTAAAGCTCAAATCATTTCGCACAATCGTGAATCAACAGCCTTAACGGGCTAAAAAACCTAGATGAATATGTCACTCGTTTGGATAAATTTTAGTATATGTTTGAAAATTAGAAATCTGCATTGAACATGTCCGAATTTTTCAAAAATAATAATAAACTCATTTATTTACACTTAAAACGTTATTAAACACTACGCCTTGCTTGATTTTGCAATTCTCTATAGTTGGGTAAAATGCTGATGTGGCGCTATGTAACAAGATTTATTACGCCCACAGTTCCAAAGACAAACCCAAATTTTAGGGGGTACAGGGGTACAACTTTAAATTTCCTTCCACAACTTTTGATTTCGTTGTTCCAAATGGGTTGTTTGATTCTTTGTAAATGCCAAAATTAGCACTAAATACGTTTGTTCTTGTAAAAACTACTTGTTTCGTTGTAATGCAGATTACAGATGCACGAATACAGGATTCAAGATTCATAAAAGAGGAAAGACAATGAAAAGAAGGCAAGGAAAACCTAGTTAAAATGGAGGGTGTAACTGAAATCGAGCAAGTAAAATCAATCGAAAGTTGAAAATGGAGGAGAAAGATGTAGCTCAAAAGTGCTTGAAATGTAATCATGGGAGATGAGGATCAACCCCTCAACAACTTAACAAGAGAGTTAAATTACTTTCTCATCATCGCCACAACATTCCCCTCGCCTTCTCGAAGTGAGAAAACACATACTTGAGAGACACCCAAGGAAAAGGAGGGAAATTTCGAAACCACAATAGGCCTGATATTTTGATTCAAGCAGACACAATCTTTTACTTGTTGCATGAAACAAGATTGGTACAACTAAAGCACTCAGATTTAAGAAAAGGAATGTTGACATCGAGTAAAAGATGTTGGCATTCAGAATGAGTAGGAGGATTTATTTCAATCATTAAATATCAGAAAATATGTAAAGATTTTCATCATCATGCCTCTTCTGTCCTATTGAACTGAGAACTTAATAAAACAAAAGACGCAAAAAAAAATTAAAAAGGAAAAGAGAAAATCAACCAAAACCTAAATTTAATTACAAAAACACAGTCGAAAACCCAAATCATGCTTCACATTTCTTTTGTTGCAAAAAAGAAAATAAAAGACGCGGCATCAGTAAGGGGTTTCTCTCAGACAAATGCCTCGATTTGTCGTCACGGGAGAAAGAATGGAATAAGATCAGACTCGTCATCATTTTTGCTCATCACTGAGAAACCCCCATCTCGCATGTTAAAATTATGAAGAACACAAATCAAAACGATCATTACCACCTGCATTCTCCACCAACAGAGTACAATCCCTAAAAAAAACAATATGGAAAAAATGCTATGGGAAAAGGAAAGGGAGAAATAAAAGGAACATTATTGATCCAACTCCCAGAGAGACAGAGGTCCAGATCGAAGAAATCAACCAGCGGAAGAATGATTGCACAGGAAATTTCTAAAGAGCTAATGAAAACGAAAATAGGGTTGAACCCAGCATCTTTGAGAAGGTATGTTGGATACAGCCAATCCATTGCCATTGCGTTTTATAGGCGTATGATTTTAGGGTTAGGGTTCTCTTTCGCTTAAATTACATAATTACCCCCATCGCCCATCGGTGGAGGCTTTTCCTTTTGTATGGCAAAGGGTGGATTCGAGCTGATCCAAATAGTACGAGGTTCGGGCTCGAGTTCAGTTCGAGACAAAAATTCATAGGTTCAAGGTCGATTTAAGAAAAATGTTTTATAAAAATAAAAAGTTATATATAAAAATATTTTTTATTTTACCTTTTTAAAATTAAGAATTTTTTATGGGTAAATGATAAAGACTCCCTTGTACTATGGGGTCTGTGATAAAGACACCTTTATATTATGACCTTGAGACAAAGATCCCTTCCTTCTGTTAGTCTTTCCTCCAAAAAAGCCGTAACGATATTTTTTAATCCTTATATTACCCTTTTAATAATTAATTAGATGAGATAAATACTGTTCATCTTCCCCATATGGATATTTCATCAAACCAAAGCCGATAAGAACGGAAGAACCAACTCCTCTCTTTTCACCAAAAGAAGAAGAAAATAAAAGAATTCCTCTTCTTTGCCAGCATACTAATACTAGGATTATAGTTCCTGATCTGGGTTTTCTAGAATGGGGAAGGAGAAGCTAATGGAGCAGATAATCCAGCTGAAGCTCACATCGAAATCACTGGTTAGGGAAGCGAAGAAGTGTGAGCAGGAAGAGAAATCAGAGAAGGCCAAAGTAAAGAAAGTGATTGAGAAGGGCAACATGGATGGCACAAGGATCTATGCTCAAAACGCGATCAGAAAGTGCAATGAACAGCTCAACTATCTGCGCCTCGCATCCCGCCTTGACGCTGTAGTCGCACGACTCGAGAGCCAACGCAACCTGCAGACAGTTGGGAAGTCGATGAGCGGAATAGTGAAGTCACTTGAAGGGGCGCTTTCTGTTGGGAACATGGAGAAGATATCTCAGACCATGGATCGATTCAAAAAGGGTTTTGTAAACATGGAGGTGCAGGCTAGTTTCATGGAGAAGTCAATGGCGGGCACCACAACTCTGTCTACTCCTAAAGAGGAGGTGAGGTCCTTGATGCAACAAGTAGCTAATGATTACGGGTTGGAGGTATCTCTGAAACTCCCACAGGCTGGGAATAAAGCAGTTGAGTTGAAAGAAAAAGGAGTAGTAGTTTCCAAGGAGGAGCTGAATAGGAGACTAGCAGACTTGAAAGCCAAAGGCTAATCTCTCTCTTTCTCTCTCATCAAATGATAAAATATGAGCATGATCATGTTTGAGTTGTTTCTAATTTTCTATGTTTGTTAGTATCTTTAGAATGGATTAGCAAATTAGCAATCAAAAATTCATTTTTATAAAGCAATTTTATTATATTAAAAAAAACAAAAAAAAAAAGCATTCAACGAAGATGGGGGCAAAATACAAGGCAACATCATTGTTGGTTCTCTTCGCTATGGGTAAGATGCTCGACGAGCTTGTTTCAGTTGTTTGATTGCAGAGTCTCGCTCTTCTTCTCTCACTGCTGACTTACTTGCTTTACCTTTTTCTTCTTCTCTTTCAATACTTGGAATTTTTGTTAGGATTAGTTGTGGCTTTTGAAGAATCTCTGAAGCTCGAGACTATAATTGGTATCGATCTCGGGATGACTTATTCCTATGTTGGTGTCTACCAGAATGGACACGTTGAGATTATAGTGAACGATCAAGGAAATCGGATCACCCCCTCATGGGTTGCATTTACAGACACTGAGCGTCTCATTGGGGAGGCGGCCAAGAATCAAGCGTCTCTCAATGCCGAACAGACCATCACCATCTTTGGTGTTAAGAGACTTATTGGGAGAAAGTAAAGAAGAGAAGAAAGGGAAAATAATAGGTTAAATAGGTTTTAAGAGAAAAAGGGCAAAAAAAGAAAATAAAAAAGCTTAGTGGGGTATTTTGATAATTTAATGCATTCCGTCATCTGACTTAACGGTCAAGGGGGGTCTTTGTAATTTACCCTATTTTTATTATATATATTATTTTCTATAATATATGTATATATATTCGAGCTCAAACTCAGTTGAAACCAAGCTGAGCGGATCTTTTCACGAGCTAAGCTCAAATAGCTCGTGAAGAGCTCGACTCGTGGCCACCCCTAATGGCAATTGGCAAAGGCAAAACAAATGGAACCAGTTAGACAGATTAGGGCTACAACTTAGGTCAGGTTAGCCCAAACACAGACAACAAAAGCCTTGGATTTAAAAGATCAAAACACTTGTATAGGGCTGCAATATGGGACGAGTTAAGCCAACCCCAACCTAAAAAAGTTGGGTTGGATCGGGTTGAAATGACTCTGGATCTCTTACCTACAAGAACTCTACCCATGCTTACCCACAAAACACAACCTCCATGCATTGGGAACATCTCCATGTACATAATAACATGTTAGAAGATGAGATGTTTCCCATATGTTGCTGTGGTGTTATGTGGGTAGGTGTGTCTGTTTGGGAGCTATTTTAGAAAAGTAACTTAAAATAATTTCATTGAAAAGTGTGTTTTTTCACTCAAGTTTTCAATCCGTCGTTGACCCAGACGATTGAACCATTTAAACCATCACCCGCTTGTAGTTCTGGTTCTAGCAAAGCCTAATCTTCCACTAAAAACTATTGGTAGAGTCAACAAATTGTCAACCCAAACGGTTAAACCATCAAACCGTTCAACCCAGTTAGCAGGTGACGTTTTTCACTTTTAACTTTGCCTAATTTTTTCCCTTATTTTAGGTTTAAAAATTTTAAAATTTCCAGCATGTCCTAGATTTAGCTCGATTCCTTTTTTCATTTTATCTCTTTCAATCCGTTTGGTTGCTGAGAAGATGGGATGGGAAGAATCTTTAGAAAATATTCTAGTTTTCTTGTGTTTGTTTTGAAGAAAACATTGGGATGGGACGAGAAAGAAATGTGACGTGGGTTCTCAAGATTCTTTGTGCGGGGTCACACCAAAATGGTGCGACCCCATTAACAAGGGAAAGTTGGTGAGAAAACTTTGTCGAGAGCGACAAATCCAAGCATCGCGTACCTCTCATGTCGTCCAATATTCTTCTCGTCGACACCATCTCCGATGACTTCTTTGGAAGGTAATCTCAGATCTGGCTTCCTCTCGTGATTACCATTTGTTTTGGTACCATTTTTATATCCTTTCATTGAATGAATTTCCATTCGAATCTCACCGTCTTCTACCTCTATCCTTGTTCATCTAGATGAACCTCCATTGCTAGAAAACACTTGAATTGCCGTTCAAGATGTTCATTTGAATGGCAGAGCTCCAGATTTGGCTTCCGGCGTTTGCCTCGTCCAAATTCGGTGTTTTCCTTGTACCAAAATGTTCCAATCTCTACCGACTTGTGCTGGTATGGTGTTTGCCGTTTTTGGTACCTTTTTTCTAGCTTCCAACTGTCGACATTTTGTTATTTCGATTCCAGCTTCCGTATCTTTGTGTTTAGAGACCAATCTCTACCGTTTTTGTGTTGTATTTTTGATAGATTTCGGCATTTTGTTATATTGATTTGCATTTATTTTATTCTTGCTCTGTTTTAGGTCATCTCAGGGCAAACTAAGGGGATTTCTAGGCCGAGGTATCACATATCTTGATATTAGGTATCACCCTGATATCTATTGATTTTTAGGCCGAGGTTTCAACAGTTTTTCTTTTTTCTGTTGATTCTTATCTTTTTAATGAATTTAACTTCATACTCTAAGCATGTATCTGTATTTATTTTTTTATTTTTTCATGGTGATTCTTATCTTGTTAATGCAAACAAATCTATTTTTCTCATCAACCAAATACTGGAACTGGAAGCAAATTCTGTAGGATGGTGGGCCTTAACAAATAAACACAGTAACAAAAAATTAGAAAATATAAAAATGAAATTATGGCATCCTAGAGTTTCAAGAATTTGAGGGAAAACTTGGAGGTATTTTAAAAATTAATATTAATATTTAACTTAGAGATATTTTATTAATTTACCATTGAATTTGGAGAATTATATGCAAACTCTATCCCTTCCCTGTCCTCAGTTCAGGATAAAAACATTTTCTCCATCCTTAATTTGGGACAAAAATATTTTCCCTGTCCTCATTTAAGATTGGAGAAAACCTGCCCGGAAGGGCCCCGATTTTATGGGAATATTGTCATCCCTTTAGCTCTCCTATTTAATGGATTATTCACTTTGCCACACTACACCACTTACTCGTCATTAATGTTATGGTTTTAAAAACCGGACCGAAAATAAAACTGTTTTGACCACCAATTCCAGGGTCAAATGGTCCGACCATTTGGTCCAATGCTGGGTCAAATGGTTTTAGGATCCAAAATCAAATCCAAATCTATAACCGATTCCCAAATCAATTAGTCTGACCACTCGGTTTGGTCCAATTTTTAAAACCATGGTTAACATCATATCAAGTGTATCTGCAAGGAATTCACAACCGAGAACAAGTTGGCAGTGACTGATATCAAACAGGTTGTTATCCATATACTCGCGTGAACCTAAAATGTTCAATCTACATGGAGGCTTAACCAGCTTCTCAAAGCTGAGTTCAAATCAGCCCCCCACAAGACTGCCCCCTACAATGTTGCACAGCATATCCCCACTGTGTATTGGAAACATCTCCCAATGATAATACCAAGAATAATGATGTCATCATCGGGAGATGTTTCCAATACACGATGGGGATATGCTGTAGGACGTTGTGAAGGGCTGATTCTGTTTCCTCAAAGCCATTACTACTTTGGAATACTTAAGACTAACCATCTTATACCTTAACATTACATTCTCCCAATGCTCAGCTCTGTAGTCTGTACCATTTTAATCTCTCAAGAAAAAGCGGGAATAAACAGTTTGATAATAAAAGTGCTGAGACTTGAGTGTATATTTCATAAAGTTCAGTGTACCCAAGTGTTGCATTTAAAAGTTCACATAATCATTACCTCCAAAATACAAGATACCTATATGCATTTTACTCATAAAATAAATGATTTTTTAATTTTCAAATATTTTCTAAAACATAAAGAAAAAAATTGTTTGATCAATGAGTTTAAAAAAAGATCACTGATAGATCCATTTCTAGTTCATTCTTTCCTACCATAAAAATCATTTAAAACATATAGAAAATCATTTATATTTTTTATTAATTTTGTAATGATTGTTAGAACAATCTATAAAAAGTCCACAAAAAAGAAAAATCAGCATTTTTTCATCTATGTCTAGGGTTATTGCTATTTGTCCGATCATCCACATTGGTTGTATCGTTGTCCACCCATTTTACGCACACACCTTTGGATGCGGATACAATACACTGTGTCAAGCTTATCATGTTGATAACTTTATTTTAAGCTTTCCCACTTGTAATGATTTCAATAAGGAAAAAGGAAAGTAATTCATTCCATTTTTCTTGACAGTCTCATATAAAGAAAGAGAGAGGCAAAAAAGGTTTATCACAAGAAAGTGATTAGAAGACAAAAACTATCAATTATCTCAAAAGGAGGCCGAGAGAATCCTTTCACCTCAATGCACAAAAACAGACCTCCTTTTCTTCTCATTTCTCACATGTTAATTGTAAGTTAAATTATTAAAAATATAAAAAAATATAAAAGTTCATAATAAAATCCCCTGAGGTCTTGTTTTCTCTGATAAAACTTATTATTACTACGGCAGTGTTTGGTTGTAGTGCAAATAAATTTGCTCTAGTATAAATGCATGGAAGTACAAATGTAAAAAATGCAAACTCTTGTTTAATTTTGTTTTGAATTTTACTCTATTTTAATCAAATAAAATAAGCTAAAATTTGAAATAAAAATAAGTCAAAATTCAGAGTACATGTCACACCAACCTCTGTGAAACATTTCACACCAACCTCATCACACACTCACTAATAATTAACATTTGTAACATCTCCCCTACTCCCCATTAGATCGAGAAATTCAAATTTGTGTGAGCACCAACCTCAGAGCACATTGCAACCATGCATTGGAAACAGCTCCGATGAATGATATCTTAGGAGATGTTCCACATGTGCGATTCCAAGTGCTGTGAAGTTTGTGTGAGATCTGATCTTCACTTAACGCTCCTCACACCGACCTCACAGACACATCTCACTGTTTATTGAGAACATCTTTCCATGAATAAAAAATACAAACACATGAGATATTTCCAACATAGGTCGGCGTGAGGAGCAGATCCGGACTCGAGAGCATGCGCACATTCATTCGAAACCTGAAATGGACCATCTTACCTATTTTAGCATGCGCACTGCCAAGTGCCAACCAATACGAATCCTACAGTTTAAATGAATAGCTGAAGACTTGGATTTGGCTCAAGGGACAGCACAAATTAAAATTTCGTGACAGAGACTGTAGAAAAAAATGCAACCTGTAGTGCTAAACTTAAAATCCATAACGACAATAGATTTGCAGGTCTAACAAAAAAATGATACAAACGAAATGTTTGTTCAGATCACAACCAGAAAATAATCCGCAGCTGCAACACAAGGGAGCCTAATGAAAGTGAAGTACCAAGGCCCAGACAGGATAAATCAACAAAAGAATAATTCCAACAGTGTTTGAGATGCCGTGGCTCTGTGTGAAGGAATTTCTGAACCCACCAGACGCACGGATGTGCTCTTGCAGCAGATAACACCCAATTAACAAACATATAGCGATACCAACCCAGCTGCTCCTCAGGGTATGTGCAAAGAAACTAGGTGACACCACCAGAAGAAGAATCACGGATCCAGGCATCTCGAGCCAATCTGCACCCAAATCATCATCAATATTCACAATAATACAGCAACTAATCCAGTATGTTCAGTACTGCAAGCAAGTTGCCATAAAACAAAGACATATGCATACAGCTAGTGTGGTAGTTCAACTTTGGTTTCAGCCTCTTTATGGCCTATTAGCTAAATGTGCTGGGATTGCAACCTTGATCCAGATGATATAACGTTATATAGTTTATACTTAACAGACCGGGGTGATAGCAAATTTGCAACATTAATAACTTTCAGATCATATGGTTCACGAGAAAAGAAAAGAAAATCTGTAAACCTGGACTCTCAAAAAGACTACTTACCTGGGAAGTGCCGTGGGAAAAAGAGCCGTAATACAACTGCAATGAAAGCAATCCATTTTCCAACCTCTCCTCTGCAACATAATCAAATAAAGTTGGCATATATTGCCAAAGAAGTCAAAATTCAACACGCACACAAACAAAAGATGAGGAATGGATATTCACCTTAACAAGTTAAATAATACCGAAGGAAGGCTGAAGAAAATGTAAGGCACTAAAAGTGAAGTCAGCATTTTTGTCCTCCAGTTCGTTCGATCCAAAATCAACAAATAACTGCATTAAGAATATGAAGAGTATTGTTTATCATTGGAGATTGCTAATCCCTTAAAGATGATGTAAAGATGTTACAGAATATATGAATGATCTTATATCACTGTTACAAAAGGAGTAAATCTGAGCACCTTTTTAGGTGGCATACACAGAAAACAGAAAAGAAAAACTTTTTTTACCAGAAAATTCAAGCAAAGTTCTCCTTCCTTTCTTGAATGTAGGTGATATATAAAGAAAAATATGAACTTAGAAGTCAGAGCCAACAGAAAGGCCATAGATATTTAGAATTAGCAGCTATGCGAAAGATACACCATAAAATATTCAACTATCATATACTACCAGCCAGAACGACACAGAACTTATATATAAAAAAGCCTAATAGATAAAAAAAAAATCCAATAGTGAATAAGAAAGGATTAAGAGGAAAAGAGAAAAAAATAGACCCAACAAATGTAAAACATCAAAATTCACAATCACATATAAAAGATCAATTGAGCCTATGCATCAGATGGTCTAAAAAGGTGGAACTTTTTCTTAAAAATTGCATATATCCACAATATAGAAAAGAAAACAATTGCATATATCCACCCGATCGGTTACCACTTTTATGATACTGGTTGATCGATCAGTTACAAGTTTTCCAGTATCATGGTCGAACCAAATAATTTATCATGTCAACTTGGAAAATGGGCAAGTTACAGAGACAGAACACTTGATACACAAAGCCAAGTGTACCACCCCAAAGGGTCTATTGTTCTTGGCACAAACATAATCCCTCGTTGCCTTAATTTTTCCTCCCAAAGGTGTCATCAATTCCCAAAAAAGTTCTCCCAGGTTGCAAAACAAATTTGGGATGACACATTATTCAAACAATATTGCAGAAAACCTTATTGTCTTCCCTCTGCATCTTTAGATTGATTCCTAGAGAGATTGGGTTCAGTCATTGATGGCTAGCTATATTTGAGGGTTGGAACTTGGAAGGGTCTTTTGTAGAGTGACAAATTTACATTGTCCTGTGATATTGTTTTATCTTTTTTAGGACAGGACAGAAATTGAACATTTCATATACTTCTTTTCTGCATCTTCTCATGTAGCACTTTTTGTCATTTAATGAGACAATTCTGTTTCCTCATGAATAAAGAATAGGGTAAACCTTTCCCTCTCTATCTTTAGACTGATTCCTAGAGAGATCTGGGTTCAGTCATTGTTGGTTTACATCATCTAGTGTTTTTGTTTTATCTTTTTTAGGACAAGGCAGCAATTGAACATCTTATATACTTTGCTGCATCTTCTCATGTAGCAGTTTTTGTCATTTCATGAGACGATTTTTCTTCCTCACAAATAAAACAAGGGTAAATAACATCGTGCCACCCCATACTTGGGATGGTGACATATAACCTCCAGAGCTTTGTTTCAAGACAAAGGCCACCCTGAACTTCTGGGTTCCAGCACTTTGCCCCCTACTCTGTTGACGGGGTCGATGGTGAAGGTAATTTGAAGTTTTAGGAATGTTTAAACACACACACATGACAGTCACATGGGAATCTTCCGTGAAGTTAACTGGCAAAATGCTGATGGTGGGGGCAAAGTGCTGGAATCCAGAAGTACAGGGGGTCTTTGTTGCAAAACAAAGTTCAGGGGGCGAAGTGTCACTAACCTCAAGTACAGGGTGGCCCCCTGTAATTTACCCTAATAATCAGGGTAACAGGATAACCAAAATGCAATCTTGCTGGTTAGAGAAGTGACTTCCTAACTTGCAGTCTACAGAAACCAACCTTCTCACTCAAAGGACTAAAAAAATGAAAAAGAGAAAAAGAGTGAATGCACATACACATGAAGACACACAGATATGAGAGAGGGCAAGAGAGATTTCCACCCTATAACTTTACCGTGGATCCAAAATCATCCAAATGGTCCATGATCCAGTTTCAAAGGATGACAGTAATGGACCAATTACACCTATGGTGCATCATGGTTGGGCTGCTTATGGTTTGGCAGAATCCAGGCAGAGTCTGTATATTCCTTGTATACTGCTCAATAGAACTAAGTCCAAAAGAAACTTTTCATGTTCTGCCCAAGAACAAGGCCTGCCTCAACAAGACCATGCCTCCAAATAAGCCAGCTAAAACGGGAGCCATTGAGTTTCCATAGATATCTTGTGATCTTTTCTTTTGCAGCTTTCACTTATTAAGTTGTTTGCTTTGTACGATGAGGCTATCAACCTAAAACAGAAATCTATTTTTCCCTATTAGTAGATTTTGAGAAATTAAACTAAATAGAAAAGAAATAAATGAGGTAATACTTTCCTTTGAGAATGTATCCTTGCTTTGACAATTTCGAATTTTCTTGGTAAGACTTGTTCAATTTCCATAGGTGTTAAAGTTTCAATTTAACAATTTGGATTGGTATTGAGACTCTAATACTAAATTTTTCCATGCATACTACTTTTATGCGTCAGTCCAATTTCTATTGGCAGGCCAGGCTACAAATAAGGACCATTATCCAATGTTGATCCGAGCTATCTGGGATCTATCACACATGAAACAATTCAAAGATTTATCATTCAGACCAATCAACAATCCCTCATTGTGAAAACTGCACCATTTACGTAAGAAGCACAAAAACATCTGGTGAAAGAAACATATGGAATTTACACCAATTGACAAAACCAACAAACTAACCCATGTATATAGTTGGGACAAGGCTTTGATGAGTTGACACAGAAACATACAAAGCCAACAAAAAGCATAATAACTAAGAAATGTCTAAGATGAGAAAACAAGAATAAGATCGTCAGTATTTCTCTCTGTAAAATATTTCAGATAAAATAGATGTACGGTTTTTCCAACTAAAATAGTTCAGGTATTATTGATGTCCCTTTTAAAGAGAAACTCTTTTACCCACCCCTATAAATTTGTTTTGATATAAATGGCAAGGAAAACAAAGTTCTCAACATGAAAAGGGCAAAAATATAACTGATTTCGGCAGGGAAAATTTTCCATCAATTTTACGTTGAAACAAATGGATCCTAAAGTTTAATTAATCCAGCCGAACATACAATATTTTACAATCAACAGCCATGGAAATGAAAGATATTCGTTTATTTTGGACGGATTGGAAATGATCTGTATCCAATCATCGAATGCAAACATACAACCATCCGATTCTTGATATTCGTTTCAGTTACCATCAAAGAGAACTCAATCTCTATAAATGACTAAGAGCAAATCGAACTTAATTCTAAGGGAACAGCACGCCATAGCCACTAATCTTCAATCGCTTAATTATCAGAAACATAAAAAGAGCCTAAAAAAGCACCTAAAATCAAGCAACTCGATCACAACAAGGACTGTGTCAGAAGAGAACTCACATTGCAGCGAAGGAAGCAACCCATCCGAGAAAGGAAGTTCCAAACCCTAAGCCTCCCAATTTGATAGCATCATTGGCAAGCTTCTTCGCGGCAATTCCGAGTTCCTTCATGTCGGAACTAATCAACTCGGTTGTCATCGGATCAGTTTTCATGGCCAGATACTGAATCCTCCCCATTTTGCTTTAGATCTGGAAAGGCAAACAAGTTTGCAGTTGTAGAGAAGAATTCCACAGAGAAAAAAAAAAAAAAAAACTATACAAAGTATTGGATCGATCACTATTCACTAGTAAGACCAACCTCAGTCCACTCTTTTGAACTTTCGTCTGGATATGATGAATGTCGCGGCGTCCCTGAATCCTGCTCCTATCAGAAAGAGCTCCCAAGTCCCAAGTCAGGAGACTGGATTATAAATCAGCACTTGCTGAAGTAAGCGCACCACGTGTACGCGACGTGGACAGCGCAGTCGCGCTCCCGTCCTGGGCAGGGATCTGCCACCAACCAAACGCTCCCAACAAGCTAATGGAGCCGCACATTCATGGTAGATGTTCCCAATGTGCGGCTGCAGTGGCTGGTTCGGAAATGTTCGGAGCGACAATTTGGTAGCGGATCCGATCTCCCCGCGGTGTCGGCCTCCGTTTACTGTGTCTCTAACAGATTGGTATGGAGTATGAACTGGCGTTTTGAATGATTGAAGGCGACTAGTATTTCCTTGATTTCTTCTGTGTTTTTGCTTGATGGACAATATTACCCCTGCCTCTTTCTGATAATGTCGAGGATTGCCATCGTCCACAATTCCACCACATCTAGTTAACTGCGTCCGGACAAAAAAATTTATTAGCCATCGTGCAATTTGCCATATATAATATATCAACTTGTTCAATTTGCTTTTATTTGCTCGCCTTTGGTATGTTAACAGGAAAGATGCCAATCTTTTAAATATTTTTTACTTTTTGGTTTTAAATTCCTGAATAATCAATATTTTAATTCTACTTTATTTAATTGCAGTAAAGGAAAATCCAAAACAAAATTAAATCAGGATCTGCATTCCCATACATTTTGTACAAATGCAAATAAAATTATTGCATTACAACCACTATTCTGATACGAAAATGTTACTAATGCTTTACAGAGGAAAAAATTCATTAATTTTTTGACATTTTGGTGGATGGATGGATAAAATATACTTGGTTATTAATACTTTAGAGTATGTTAAATTTATATATAAATCTAGGACTTATATCAGGACTGCTCATGTTTTAGACTTTTAGTCCAAAAGGCTAAATTGGTTAAAGAGGTTTGTGTTTCCCTTGTTTTCTAAAGTAATATATTTAGTTTTATTTATCTCAAAAAAAAAAAGAAAAAAAACTTTGCAATATGCAAATTTTCAATTTTTTTTTTAACTAAAAAATTAAAAAACCCTTGCTTGTTTATAATATGAGCAGGGATGGACGAATGATTGGAAACGTGTTTTGTTAACGCTCAGAGTTTCCAAATTCTTCCTTTCTATTCTCTCTGTCTGTCTGTCTGTCTGTCTAACGTTGTGAAATATCGGGATCGAGCTGGGCTTTACCATTTATCAAAAGAAAATGTCCAGCCCAAGGCCGAGCCCCGCTTTTATGTAAAAGCCCAAAGCTCTATCTGAATCTGAATCTACTTATACAGCTATTTTTTATGGCCTGTGGGATGGATGCTTCGGAGCAGTTGCAGGACAAACACATTTTGAATCAAATAACAACATTTATGGTATTGCTTCTACTGTGGAGCACGATACGAGAATTGTAGAATTAGCTCCTTTCTATGGGAAACAAGCTGCTATGAACCCCACTTCAAAAGACTAGAAAGCAACTCAACTTCAAAACAAGCTGCTATGAACCCCAAAGAAGAGCTGACGATTAGGGGTGTCAATTGGACCCGATTTAGTCCAATATGAATTCATTATAAATGAATCAGGTCTAACCTAATCCAATGAATACTTTGGACCATTTTGGATCAGTCCAATTCAATGTCTGGACTGCCCAATCTGTTCAAATTGGTTTTAATTTAGATTGATTCTAACCCAAACTTAGTCCATTGATGCTTATATTTTTAGTGGACCAGATATTGGTTCAATCTGACCCAATCCAATACAAATCTACTATGGATCGATCAGAACCAATCCAATCCAATAAATACTTTGGACCATTAAGTCTGGACTGGTCCAATTTAATATGTTTTATTGGTCCATCCAGTCCATTTAAATCGATTTTAATTTGGACAGAGTCCAACCCAAAATCGGTCCATTGACACCTCTATTGAGGGATAACCCACTTGTTGAGATGGTCACTCAAGAGTTCACATCAGCGACCCATATGCATATCTAAGCGTGCATTGAGAACTTCTCCTGCACTTGTCATTGGGAGATATTCCCAATACATGGTTGGGATATGCTGTGGGGCGTTGTGATGTGAATTCAATTACAAGATAGTCTCTCAGTATTATGGCCTCTGGCCTCACGTGCTGACGTGAACAACAGGCAACCACCAGACATCTGGCATTGGCTCCCAATCACCAATAAGGGTGTTAATGGACCCGTTCAGTCCAAAATCAATTTGGATGGATTGGACTGACCAACAAGATATATTAGATTGGACCAATCCAGTCCAAAATATTTATTAGATTGGATTGGACCTATTTTGTCCATAACAAATTTTTATTGGATTGGGTTGGATTAAGCCAAAATCTGGTCCATTGATATAAGATAAGAATATATGTATCAATGCACCAGGTTTGGGTTGAAACCAATCTAAATCAAAATGAATTTGAACAGATTGGACAGTCCAGACATTGAATTGAATCAGTCCAAATTGATACAAAGCATTCATTGAATTGGATTGGACCTGGTCCATTTATAATGGACTCACATTGGATAATCCAATCAAATTCACACCCCTAAATTCACCAATTCACCAGTAACCTTTACAATGATATGGGCCGGGGCAGGATCCACATCTATTAAAAACACCGGGTATAGGTTTTGTGTCTGGAATCACAACACTTGGTTCCTGACCAGTGACCACACTACCAAACGTGCACTTATTCTTTTGGGTTAAAAGTAAAAATTCTAAAAGGATTCCTCACCTCTACAGGGCATTAGGGTTGAGTGAAGTGGCTGGGTTTTAATTAAATACTACACTCTAAAAAATCACGCTATTAGTTGCATAATTTATAGGGTAAATTTCTTAAACTACCCCTATGGTTTAATTAATTGACTAAGTGTACCCTTACTGTTTGAAAATTGACTGACCCTATCCTTACTGTTTCTGACAATTGTTTAAACATTATCAAGGCTGTTAAACATGGAGGGAAAATGTAAAATGATTGCTTTACCCTTAAACTCAACCGGATGGAACCACCAGAGAGATCGATGGTAGCAGAGATCTAAGAGAAAAAACTAGTATGGAGATCTCTAGACAAATACTAGTCTGAGCGGGTATTTATAGGGCAATGGAAAAGAAAAGGTGGGATTTGAGATAAAGCAAATTGCCACTGCTAAGAGTTGCAGTGGCGATGGTAGGGGAGGATAAATGGGGCAAGGTGAGGTTGAAGAAGAGAGAGAGAGAGAGAGAGAGAGAGAGAGAAGATAGGTCTAAGACTTGCAGGTTTAGTGCAATCTCCCTCCCTTTGAATAGCTTGTTGAGCAAAGCCTGAAGCTTGAAGTTGTGTATGGTTTGTTGCTGAAGTTTCAACATGCATTAGCTTTATTCGAGAGACACCATATCTTCAGTAGGCTTGCTAAAGTTGTCGATGGTTTGTTGTTGAAGCCTGAAGTTATATTCATAGAAAAGAAAACGGAAATGGGGTTTTGGGAATGAAGAAAAGTAAGGAACAGAGGGAGAATTCTAGCTCAGACGGTAGGAAAGATAACAAAAGATGGGAGTTTTGGCAAGTCAAGGAGGGATTCGAAGAGAATGGGTCAGATCTCGTCTAGCATTCTGAATAACATAAGTCAAGCGGATGCTGCTTGGTTAAGATCTTATTACACCGAAACTGAGAAGGAGCAGAACAAACATGCATTATGGTGGTTGCAGCCATGGTAGCCGTAGCAGATGCTGTCGTTGCAATTGTGCAGGTGGTGGTGGTCATTGTGAGGCTTACAAGTCAAGGTAGAGGGACAATGTTTGGTGGTGGGTAGGAAAGGTGGGCCGCAATAAAGATTCAGATTGTTTTCTAGGGATATTTGGTAACTGTGCTTTTGATCATTACCTATTTTGTCTGGTTTGCCATCTTTTCTTTCTTATCTGGATATCGATCTTTCCTTGTTTCGTCTGATGTCTTTATGGTTTTTGGATATCGGCCTTTCAAGGATTTGGATATTAATCTGTAGCTAGCAACCAAGCAATTGTTCTTCGTATTTATCCCAAACTAAAAGGGTATTTGAAGGAAAGGAGGAGGAGCCCTTCCCTGCTCTTCGCAATGAATAGGAATTATAGGATAAAAAGGGTGAGTTGACCAGCTGAGGGTGCGGATTCCACGAATCAAAGTAATGGGGGATTTTCAAAGATTTCTTGAATTTTTAGAGGAAACCTCTTCCGACCATAGGTAAGAGAGAGAAAATAGAGAGAGATAAGAGAGAAGACATCGGAGGTCTGAGGAGGAAGGGGTTGCCGATTAGAGGAAGGGGACGAGGGAGGGGGTAATATTGGGTTTTAAAAGAAGTCTAAACATCACGTGATCTCACGTGTATGCAGGTTTTGGCGGAATATTAACGGATAAACAGTAAGGATAAAGTTAGTCAATCATCAGAAATAATAGAAATAACATCAGTCAATTTTTAAACAGTTTAGTCAATTAGCTAAACCATAATGATAATTTAAGAAATTTATCCTAATTTTATATGCCCAAATCGTAGAGGGGTAAAACTAAGAAATAGTTGCATCATTTCTCATGAAAGGATAAGCATAAAAATTCTGGATTATAGATTTTTCTCAACCTTCACCTGTACGGCTCTACCTCATCCTCGTATATAGAGACAGCAAGGATGAATACAAAGCATAAAAGAAAAGAAACATTTGACTACACCAATGTAGTGGAGGTAGGGGTGCAGCCTGGGGTCCGGGCGGGCTCGGGTGAAGATTTGTTAGAATATGAATAGACTCGGCCCGTGTAAATTTTCCAAATTAGATACTGAGCCCTGGAAGCGTCTCCCTTTGAATGCTGACAATGGGCTTTAGAACTCTGCCTTCTACATGTCTTATGGTTGGAATGTTAGTTTTCTTTGAAATTTCAAAGTACTTTGTGTGTTTATAATTATAATATTGTAGAGTTGAGTGAGTTAATAAAAAAAATAGTAAAAGCTACATAATAAAATAGTCTTGCAGTGTAATTAGTAATTAGTGGGTGTCATGTAAACAAGGCAGCACGCTGTCCTGTTGTGGAGAGAGAGAGAGAGAGAGAC